CCAAAGGAAAGAGTGTAAATGGAGAGATCCGAGGACTGGACTCTGGGACATTTTAACATTAAAAAATTGGAAGGGAAAAGAAGAACCAGAAAGCAGAGGAGACTGACAAGCAGTAACCAGGGAGGAAGAAGGAAATCCAGAAGAGTGTGGCATACTGGAAGTCAAGAGTGGGGAATATGGCAAGGAAAAAGTTGGTCAACTGCACGAAAAGTTGCGAACTGGCCAAGTAAGATGAGGATGCAGAGTTGACCACTAGATTTAACAACACAGAGATCACTCACGGCTTTGAGAACACTCACGAGTGATGGAGGTGAAGGCATGACTGGAGTGGATTCAAGAGAGAATGAAAGGAGAGCACTTGGTGATAGCAAGTGTAATCAATTCCTTCAAGGAGGTTTGTTCCACAGAGGTGCAGAAAAACAAGGATATAGCTATAACAGGAAGTGCAACCCAGGGTGGGTTTTTTAAAAGGGGGAGCAACACCCCCCACCCCGGTGGCTCAGATGGTAAAGAATCTGCCTGCAGTGTGGGAGACCAGGGTTCGATCCCTGGATTGGGAAGATCCCCAGGAAGAGGGCATGGCAACCCACCCCAGTATTCTTGCCTGGAGATTCCCATGGACAGAAGAGCCTGGAGGGCTACAGTCCATGGGGTCACAAAGAGTCGGACACAACTGAGCGACTAAGCACCCACAGACATAATGTGCTGGATGCTGGCATCAATGATGCAGTTGAGGAGTGATAAACTGATATCACAGGAGAGGAAGGAGAGAAGGCTGGAGCCCTGTGGTGGTGTAGAGGTGAGGAGATAGGAGCAAATATCCAAGTTCTGGAGCTGGTCTTAGAAAAAGCACAGACAGTTGGTTTGTGGTTAGTAGAGAGAAGAATCCATTAATGAGATAGACTTTGAATATTAGAAGGAAGGTTGCTCCCACATGTCAGACAGCCTGGGCAAAGACTCAAAGGGTAAATGAGGGACTCCCCTGGTGGTCCAGTGGTTAAGAATCCACCTGCCAACACAGGAGACAAGGGTTTGATCCCTGGTCTGAAGGGATTCCACATGCCACAGAACAACTAAGCCCATGTGCTGCAACTACTAGGCCCAATGGAGCAAATACCGAAGTCCACAGTCTAAAGCCCATGCTCTTCAGTGACAGAAGCCACGGCAACGAGAAGCCCGCGCACTGCAAAGAGAGAGTAGGCCCCCATTCACCAAAAATGGAGAAAGCCGAGTATAGCAATGAAGACCCAGCACAGCCAAATAAATAAATAAACTTTTTTTAAATCTTAAAGGAGGAGCTGGGAAGGGACCATGGCTGAGGGTAGAGGACGGGGGTATGAAGAACCAAAGCTGAAAGTCAAAGGTAGAGAGAGATGGATTCTGGAAGTTACCATGGCAAATTACTATTACAACGTAAGCACTAGGTGTCCAAGGTGGTTAAGGTGCTGATCATATGTGTGAAGAAGATGCTCCTGGAAGCAGGAGCAGCAGGAAGGACTGCAGAGATCTAGATGCATGCAGCCTCGGGCATGAGGCTAGAGACACAGAAATATTGCAGGTATGGCATCCTAGTGTCCAGGAAGAGACCAGGGATGTCTGCAGGTGGTAGAGAGAACTGGGAAGCAGAAAGACAAAGAGGCTGCCCTGAGTGGATGGGAGGGACCTCTGTTTTGGATGCCTCGTTTCTCTCACAAGGTGACACTTCTGCATTCTCACCTTCTGACCTACCACAGAGGAGTCAAAAGCTGCAGTAAGGACAGGAAGTGCTGCAGCCCCCTCGTGATATGGTGTAGGGGTCTGTGGGGTGCCCCTGCCTCACTGATACCTAAGGAAATCCAGGATGGCTCAACATACATCAAACCAGGAGGTGGAGGCAGGACTCTTCCTCTGTGAGGACCCAGCATGTAGCACAACGTGTCCTGCTAGCAGGATTCAGAATGGCCAGGATGGGTAGAAGCATGAGTGTCCCTCTGAATGGTGACCCTGTGTCCCCAAGGGGAGGAGGCACAAGGCCCAGGCCTGCTGAGCCACACCCGCCATTGTTTCCCGGAAGCGTCCCCAAAGATCAGAAGAGGTCCTGTGGCAGGCACATCCTCTCTGCCTGCTGGGAGCTGAGAAGAGAGCCGCAGAGAAGGAAAGGAGAGGGAGGCCCAAATGAAGGGAACTGACTAAGCATCAAGTGGGAAGCTGAGGTTAGTATGCAAACATCCTGGCTTAGGTGGAGCAGGTCCTTCTGATGTATCCTACCTGCTGGATGCCAGCCCTGGCATCTGCTGCTGACCAAGTCCTGCAACAAAGGGCTGGGGGCAGAGAGATGAGCTGGAACCAAGACCTTCAGGATTCTCACTTTCTCAGCAAAATCAAGAGCTGAGAGAAGACAAGTTCAGAGCCTAGGATTCACACAGGATAGTGTAGTAGGATGAAGCCTCACTCATCCCCTCCTATAACCCCAGCATAAGCCCTACCATCCAGCTCCCCCTTGGCTCAAGAGCTAAAATCGGAATGAAAACCCTCACAGCAGAGCACAAACTCCAGAACTGCTGGCAGATGCTAGGAATACAGTGGTGCTTGCTTGGGAACTTTGGAGTTTGCCTCTGCGCTGTCCTGATATGGAGCCCTTAGCCTGGTCTCTGCAGAGAGCCTTTCAGAATTCTAGAGACGATTTCAGGCAACTGACTTCCTGCAGTGGGGGGATGGCTTCTCCATAGAATCACTTCTCCTATAAAACACAGAGTCTCAGCGAACGGGTACGGTGGCTGCTTCATTTCTGTACCACCTCAACAAGCACAGGGTGGGCACAGGGATAAACTCCACTGGAGAGGCTGCTTCCTGTGCCATGTGACGGGAGCTGAGTCTCTGGCTCTTCCCCAGTCAGCCAAGCCTGTTGCACCACCTGCTTCAGGGCAGAGGCCTGGGCTGTCAGAGAAGGAAGCACAGAGTCCACTGCAGGGAGAGGAAAGCAGGGAGGACAGCCCCGCGTGCAGGCGGGGACATGAGGAGTGAGAACAGTGCAGGCACGCAAGGTGCGGGGTGGGGGAGCGCGGGCAGAGGACCTGTGCCTAACGGGGCTTGGAGAGGACTGTCCCTTCCCAGGCACAGGCACAGTGGGGCCAGGACCCTGCGTTCTTGCTCTGATGGGAGCACAGAGAGCAGAGAGGGGGCCTGAGAAGGGGCCAGAAGGCGATCTCTGTTTCCAGAAGGAGGGGTGCCTGCTGCCAACAGCCCCCCTTTCCCGTCCTGTCCCCCTCCTCCACTGGAACATCTCTGGGTCCACAGCCAGGCAGAGAGCATACTGGGGGCTTTCCAGAGTGTATCATTCCCAAGGTCAAGCCCCACACTGAGGCCCCAGGGGCAGGGCTCTGGGCAGGCAGCCGGACACATGGGAATCCAGACAGCGGGAAGCGAAAGGAAACCATCTCTTGCGGTAAACAGTGCTGACAGCTGGGGTGCATCAGAGGAGAGGGGCAGGGAAAGTGAGAGGCCAGAGCAGAGCCTCACACAGTCAAAGACACACCGTTACAGAGACAACAGGACATAATTTCAGTGATGCCACTCAGAAACTAACTCGGAGTAGCCAGAGACATGTTCAGAAAACACACCTCCAGAGACTCATGGACACCCAGAGTCAGACATGCTCCACAGACTCTGGCACCACACACATGGAACAGACACAGCCCCCATCCTGCAGGCCACAAACACAAATGCATTCCAAATTCACAAACACAAATGCATTCCAAATCCAGCCTGCAAAGTCTTTCTCCTCCATAAAACCTCTTAGGCCACCTCAGCCCAGGCCTGTTCATCAGCCTCTAAACTCCAATTTGGAATTTCTGTCCCATTGCCTGTCCTTTAATAAGGACAGTCTTGGATCCACGTGCATACCTCTGCCCTCAACAACTTGGCTGTGTGCTTTGAAGAAATGTCACAGTCAGCAAGTGAGTCCCTAGTCCTCTTCAGCAGCCCCATCCTTCACTTACACACCCATTCCCACCCCCAGGAGTGTCCCCAGTTTGCTGCAGGGCCCTGACTCTAAGTCAGTCTCTCTGATGCAGCAGAAAGAGAATCTAAAGGAAGAGTCAACCAAACTGACCTACTCCATCAAGGTAATACTAGTAGGTTTCACCAAAAGAATCTTTACATTACCTTATGCTTACCACTGTTTACTTGCAATCTGTAAGCACTATGTCAGTGCTATTCCATGCATAGTCCAAACGCTAACCCTGACCCTAGGCAGCCACACATAGGGTAATGTCTGCAACTACACTGAGCACACGAACATCACACACTGATGAAGGAAAGGGTCATCTGCAGTCCAGGGACCCCATAGCTCCCTCAGTAACATCTGCACAGTCATCAGGGCACCCAATCCCTGGAGGCCTCAGTACTCGGCTGGGAGCTCAGGAGCACCAGTGTTCCCAGGTCCTTTGACCCTTGTTAGATGTATGAGCTCTCAGGGGCCCAGCTCACCCCAAGCCCTGTTCCGGGACTAGCTCGGCTTCTGGGCTAAAATTCCTGCCATACCCCTCCCGGCTCCTGCCTGCCAAGCTGGGAGCATCTGTTGCCCTGGAACCCCCATCAAGCAGGAATGAACAGGCCTGGGGCTGAAGGGAATGCAGGCTCTTCCCAACGTGGGGGTTTCCAGACTCCTGCACCACCTGCACCTAGGACTGCTACCCCAGAGCCTGGCCCAGGTGTCTGTCCTAAAGACGTGGCAGCCTGCTGACACTGGGGCGAGTAAGGGTGGACGGCACATCTCCTCTCTCTCCTCCAGGGTCTCGATCTGGTGACAGAGTGTGTTCACTCTGTGCTCATCAGCAAGTAAAGCTAAAGGGAGTCACATGCACCTCCCTCTCCCTCACCCTCAGGACAGGACCTCTGGTGTAACACACCTCTGTACCTCAGCCACCGCAGAGACTGTCCAATACCACCTAGGCTCCATCAAGAGCTCACCAAGCCCAAATCTTCACCCAACAGACTGAAACACTTAGCTGGCTACTCACATCTCATGTGTGCCGCCATCCAAGTCTCTGTGTCCCCTTCCTTCACGTCTACACCCAGGCTGGCTGCAGGACCGAGAGAGGGGTTGGTTCAGGGCTGCAAGCTCCAAGATATGCACATGAGGTGCTTGAGAAATTAACAAAATCAGCTTACCATCTAGATAAACATGATTGTCAAGTAATGAGCAAAGAGTGAGATTTTACTCTATTTTAAAGTTAACTAGCTATCATGTTACTGTTTCATGAATGCTGGCAGAAGACACAAGACTCCTGGGTCTGATGTAAAGGATTTTATTACTCATAGCACAGCCATAGCAAGAGCTTTGGCACAGGTTTTTACATCAGTTTCCCATGCCTACCAAGTACCAAGGGGTTGGCACAGGATATATGGTAGATGCCTGCACATACAGTGGACTGTGTTACGAGAGGAATATCTGTAAGGCAGTAAGGCAAATGTGTGTGGCAATGCAGTTTGGTGATTCACTGCTTTTATAGTAAGAAGAAGCAGGCCTAATCTTTGTCCAGGGGAGATGTTGCTTTATCTGTCAAGGTTGCCTGTTGCAAATTCAATCCTGAGAAATGGTCTGGGAAACAGGGTTTTGCAGTCTTGGCATACCTAGTAAGAACATTCAGGAATCCTAAAGGCCCAAGGTGGTTTGCCTCTCAACAGTGATTAGCAATGGGTAAAAATAAATGGCTGGTGAAGAAAAAAAAAAACCAACCAACTTTCTCTATACCAGAAGTCCCAGGGGAGACACTCCAGTTAAAAAGAAAATCAATTAACAAAGGCTCAACAAAGTATGCTTATTAATTACTTCTTTTTTTTTTATTCATTAATTCTTTAACTGACAGGTGCAACTGGGGTTTTCTTGGTCCTTATCAAGGAAGACAGAAGATACTATCATAGGGACAATGTGAATACTGAAAAAACTAGTAACTTGAAAATGGTTTGGAAAAAACTTCAAGGGGCAGGGGAAGGTGATGGCAAATAACGGTGGAACCTGAAAGCTGAATAGGTCCATTTGGCAGAATGAAATGGAAAAAATTAGAGCTAATGACAACCTAAACCTTTCTGTGTTAGAAGCAAAGGTCTCTGAAGTGGCTTCTCCTCATGATTCCCACCTGGTGTTCATGTTTTGTGTAATCTCATCCTCCTGAGTATGGGTGGAGATGTGATTTGATTCTAATCCACAGAACACAGCAAAGGTGATGGGATGCCATTGCATGATTATATTACATAAGACAGTCTTCTAGCATACTCACTCTACAGACTACCTCCTGCCTTGATGAAGTGGCCATGCTGGGAAAGCCCATGTGGCAAAGAACTGCAGGTAGCCTCTAGGAACTGTGTGTGGCCTTTAGTTGTTGTTGAGAGTGGTCTTCAGCTGAAAGCAAGCAAGAAGCTAGGCTCTCAGTCCCACAGCTGCAAAGAAATGAATTCCGCTAACAAGCTGAGTGAGCCTGGAAGATTCTTCCCCAGTCAAGCCTCCAGATGAGAACACAGCCCAGACAACACTGCATTGACTGCAGCCTTGTAAGACCCTAAGCGGGGGACCAAGCTGGACTCTTGACCCACATAGACTAAGTCACTTCTTGACCCACTAAGTCACTTCCAAATCTTCGCAATCCCATGGACTGCAGCATGTCAGGCTCCTCTGTCCTCTACTTCCTCTTGGAGTTGGCTCAGATTCATGTCCATTGAGTCAATGATGATATCTAACCATCTTATCCTCTGAGGCCACAGAGACTATGAGACAATAAATTGTAGGATGTTTTAAACTACATCTGCAGTAATGTGTTACCCAGTAATAGAAAATACACTGCTGTAACCATGAAAGTAAGAGAAGTATCTCTAAGGCAGTAAGGCATATGTTTGCAGTGTGGAATTTGTGTATAAGTAAGGTACACCCTAATTCCACAATATGAGCCAGGGAAGGGCAATAGAGGAAAAGGCATCTAGGGAACTCCTCTCCCTCAGCTTATTCTACAAAGACATGTAGCTATGGAAAGCCTGCAGCCCTCCTGATAGGGCTGGAAACATCTCATCCTGCATATTAAATGTAAGTTATCCTTTTGTGCCTTCATTTTAATTCTTGATATGGTACTGGCAGACATTCCTAAAAGGCTCAAAAATATAATTAACAGTGATCTTCAGAACATGTGGAAGGGTACTCCCCAGGGCTTCCCAGGTGGTGTTACTGGTAAAGAACCTGCCTGCCAATGCAGGAGATATAATAGACTTGGGTTCGATCCTAGGTTGGGAAGATCCCCTGGAGGAGGGCATGGCATCCTACTCCAATATTCTTGCCTGGAGAATCCCATGGACAGAGGAGCCTGGCGGGCTACAGCCCATAGGGTCGCACAGAGTCGGACATGACTGAAGTGACTTAGCACACCTGCACAGGGGTATTCCCCAAGAAATGAAAACGCAAAAGAAACTTTTGAAAAGTAGGGAAGCAACCTAAATCAAAGGGTTTTACAGAGAGAAAAAGGAGCCCAGATTTTTCAGTTCGAGGAACAATAGAGATAGTTCCCACAGCTTTACATAGAGTAGGTATTCAATAAATTTTTCTTGAAGAAATGTTGAAAAGATGAGTAAGGAAAGCTAAAAGCTTTTTTTTTTAAATATCAGTGTCAGACCTTCTCTCTAGTTCAATGTGGGCTAAAGGGGGATGAGAAGACCAATTCTTCAGAACTCATCTCTAGAACTATACAATCACAAGCTCATCATATCCATTGTGTTTCCTCAGAGGTGGAGGCTAAATGGTGAGCCAAGGTTAGCAGGGATGATGTTAGGTAACCAATACAACAGATATGATTTCTCTGCTCATGGGAGAAAGCTACTAAATTTTGGAATTTAGTCAGTTTCCATAACCCATCACATTTTTTTTTTGGATATTTACCCTAGAGTAGAATTGCTAGGTCATATGGAAGTTTTTTTTAATATTTTGAAGAACCATGAAACATTTTCCACAGCAGCTGCACCATTTCACACTTCCACCAGCAATGCAGCAGGATTCAAATTTTTCCATATCCTTGCAGACACGTTAAAGTCCTTCTTTCTCTCAAGAACAGCCTTCTGTGGATGAGAATATCTCATTACAGTTTGACTTTTTAAAAATATCTCATTGCATTTCCCTAATGACTAATGATGATGTTGAGCATCTTTTCATGTGTTAGTTGATCATTTGTATATCTTCTGCTTGAAGAAATGTATATTCATGTCATGTCCTCTCCTCATTCTTGAATTAGGTTGGGTTTTTGCTCTTGTTGAGATGTAAAAGTTTCTGTTTTTAACTGGATATTAACCCCTTATAAACTGTAGATCTGCAAATATTTTCTCCCATTCCATGGCTGTCTTTTCACTTTCACGATAGCATCCTTTGATAAACAAAAGTTTTAAATTTTGATAAAACCCAATTTTTCTATTTTTTCTTTTGTTGTCTGTGCTTTTGATGTCATACTGAAGAAACCATTCCCAAATCCAAGACCATGAAGATTTTCTCCTTTCTCTTAAGAGTTTTATAGTTCTAGATCTTAGACAAACATACATTCTCGTTGCAGTCTCTGATATTTCTTTCCAAATAAAATCTGAAAAACATATTTCATGATTCTAATCCTTATAACCTTTCTCAAATTGCTTAATCTGTCTCAGTTTAATTATCCCTCAAGGGATAATTTCACAAGGTTATTTAAGAGTTATAGGTTTAAACATTGCTAGTGTAGTGCCGAGCACACTGGTGCTCAATAAACCTTCATTTCCTTTCCTTTTTCCTTCAAAGTACTTTCTTTACAGGACCTGCCAGAGTCAGTTATTCTACCTGATTTTACCGTGTTCTTCCTGAGGGTCGAGTCTGGGGTCTCAAATCTCCTTTCTTTGTTTCAGAGGACTCCCTGGTCCTCCCCCACTCCCCTAACCTTGTTCTCTTAGTGTTAATGCCTCCACACTAAGATCCAGCTTGGAGCCAACTGACCTACCACAGAGCATACGCATTCTAATGGGGTATGGGGGAGGAATGGACAAAAGTGCAGCCCCACAGGGCCCCTGCCTCTCGACCATGTTGGAAGGACACAACCTAAGGCACATTAAACCCTGAAGGCGGTCAAGGCCAGAGATCTTTGGGCATAAGGAAAGATACTCCTGAATCCCTCCCTCCACTTAGATTCCTTCCAGGCAGTTCTGGGGCAAAACTCAGGTCCTCCCGTATACCAGTCCTCTGTGGGGCCCATCCCCACGGTGCAGGCTCCTGAGGCTACCTTCTGTTCCCGAATGGTCTTCCACTGAAACAACACCAGAGACCAACCCTGCCCTCTCATAGGTCTCGAGCTGGCGTCCTCCACACAGGGCCTCCCCGTGGCAGCAAAGGTAGAGAGCGCCCTGGAGTCTCCATTCACTCGGGGTCTTCCATGGGGGCAGCTCCGCTTCTGGCACGCTCCCAGAGGGTAGAAGCAGGGACACTCCAGGTTCATCCACTCACAAAGGGACCGCTCCGGGGCGGCCGCAATACCACACCTCAGAGTCCGCGGAGGGTTGTCCGCTGGCCGCAGACCCGTCCCTCATGGTGCTTGCTCGTTCCCCACCGCCCCCGTCCCCGCTTACCGGGACGGTCAGGCTGCGGGACGCTGGCCCGGGCTGGCGGTCTTCCGCCTGCCGGTGCTGGCCGAGTGCCGTGAGCAAGCGGAACAGGCAGAGAAGCAGGCTGAGGCGGAGCAGCAGACGGAGGGGTCCTCAGGGCGCCCGCGCGCCCAGGCCACACCAAGCTCTGGCCGCGCGCCTGTGACGCGTGCGCACGCGCGCAAGGGCCTCCGCGGGCAGGGAAGTGCACGCCCCGCCCTGCCTCCTGAGGGTCGACGCTGGGCACTCGCGCGGCAGCTAGCCACGGCACATGAGAATGAGTCGCCGAGGGTCCGCTGGAGGGCGGTGGCTCGGCCCCGGCTTGGTGGCCCGCTCCTATGAGCTGTGGGTTCGGGTGCCTGTGAGCGCTCCCCGTCAGCGCCTCAGCAAGGTTAGTGCCTGCCTGGAGGAGACAGTCTGGGAGGGGCCTCCTCGGGGGCTGCGGCCGCTCCCAGTTCCACCACCTTCCTGGGTAGGTCGGAATAATTCACTCAGCGGCCTGGGCTGGGGGTCGGCCTCTCCTGTCAAGGCCAGCTGCCCACTCGGGCCTCAGGTCACAGGGTAGTTCAGTGTTTAGTTTTTTAAGGAACCTCCATACTGTTCTTCACAATGGCTGTATCAATTTACATTTCCACCAGAAGTTTGAGAGGGTTACCTCTTCTGCACACCCTCTCCAGCATTTATTGTTTGTAGATTTTTTGATAATTGCCTTTCTGGCAGTGTGAGGTGATACCTCATTGTTATTTTGTTTTGCATTTATCTAGTAATTAGTGATGTTGCACATCTTTTCATATATCTCTTGGCCATCTGTATGTCCTGTGTGACTTTAGAGAGATGTCTGTTTAGGTCTTCCACCCATATTTTGATTGGTTTGTTTTTTTGATATTGAGCTCCATGAGCTGTTTATTTTGGAGATTAACCTTTTGTCTGTTGCTTCTTTTTTGACCCACCTCCTAGAATAATGAAAGTAAAAGCAAAAATAAACAATTAGGACCCAAGTACATCATGAGAAACACTGGGCTGGATGAAGCACAAGCTGAAATCAAGATTGCTGGGAGAAATATCAATAACCTCAGATACACAGATGATACTACCCTTATGGCAGAAGGTGAAGAACCTCTTGATGAACGTGAAAGAGGAGAGTGAAAAACTTGGCTTAAAGCTCAACATTCAGAAAACTAAGATCATGGCATCCAGTTCCATCACTTCATGGCAAATAGATGGGGAAACAGTGGAAACAGTGTCAGACTTTATTTTGGGGGGCTCCAAAATCACTGCATGAGAAGGGGACGACAGAGGATGAGATGGTTGGATGTCATCACCGACACAATGGACATGAGTTTGGGTGGACTCCGGGAGTTGGTGATAGACAGGGAGGCCTGGTGTGCTGTGGTTCGTGGGGTCGCAAAGAGTCGGACACGACTGAGCAACTGAACTGAACTAAATTTAAAGAATTTTTCACAACAAAGGAAACCAGAAACAAGGCAAAAATAAAGCTCTCAGAATGGGGGGAAATATTTGGAATAGTTCTTGATTGGCAACCTGAACATACTCCAGGTTCCCCAGGGGCCACTTTTGTAACCTGGTTTATATTTGAAAAGTAGACTATGTTTTCAGATGGCTCACTGCTAAGGCATGGGACATGCATGTCCCCTGAGATGCAGTGTGAAGCATACTGAGAGAATGTGATGGGTGAATGAGAAAACAAAGGTTTATTCATGTTGAATCAGAGATCTATTAGAATTCTTATGGCAGGAAGTCTGCAGATAAGTCATTTGAGGAGGATTTTTGGATGAAGTCAGTAAAGATCAAAGTGAAACAGAAAATCTATCTCACTCTCAGGACTATAAGTTTATTTTTTGAGGCAAGGTTTGAAATTTTATGATAGGCAGCCAGATCAAACACAGTAGCTAAAGAATCAGCTTTCTTACCATCTAAGATACTGTGATTGCAGCCATGAAATTAAAAGACGCTTACTCCTTGGAAGGAAAGTTATGACCAACCTAGATAGCATATTAAAAAGCAGAGACATTACTTTGCCAACAAAGGTCCGTCTGGTCAAGGCTATGGTTTTTCCAGTGGTCATGTATGGATGTGAGAGTTGGACTGTGAAGAAAGCTGAGCGCCGAAAAATTGATGCTTTTGAACTGTGGTGTTGGAGAAGACTCTTGAGAGTCCCTTGGACTGCAAGGAGATCCAACCAGTCCATCCTAAAGGAGATCAGTCCTGGGTGTTCATTGGAAGGACTGATGCTGAAGCTGAAACTCCAGTACTTTGGCCACCTCATGCGAAGAGTTGACTCATTGGGAAAGACCCTGATGCTGGAAGAGATTGGGGGCAGGAGGAGAAGGGGACGACAGAGGATGAGATGGCTAGACGGCATCACCAACTTGATGGACATGAGTTTGAGTAAGCTCTGGGAGTTGGTGATGGACAGGGAGGCCTGGCGTGCTGCGATTCATGGGGTCGCAAAGAGTCGGACACGACTGAGCGACTAAACTGAACTGACTGAAGATACTGTTACACAGTCCATTCACATTTAATGTTGTTATTGATATGGTTAGATTTATGTCTGCCATTTTGAATTTGTTTTCTCTATGTTTCATATCTTTTTTGCTCTTTTCCTCCTTACTGCCTTCTTTTGCATTAAGTGAATGTATTCTGAAATTGTTTACCTTAGATTGGGACTTGAACGCACATGGACGGGAATGAAACCCAGCCAAAACCCTGCTTGGGACTCTAATGCACATGGCTGGGACTCAAACCCAGCCAAAACCCATAGTACCTGGTTTCAGGACCTAATGAAGCTCAGGTTCTTGTCTTGAAAAATAGACAACAAGATGCCTTGATGTCTCACCGCAGAAAGAATTCAGTGAGAGACAAAGTGATAGGTAAGAAGTGGATTTATTTAGAGAGAAACACATTCCACAGACAGAGTGTAGGCCATTACAGAAGGCGAGTGTGGTGGCGAAAAGTGGCATGGTTAGTTTTTATGGGCTGAGTAATTTCATATGCTATTTTGGGGAAAGGATGGAGATTTCCAGGAATTGGGCCACTGCCCACTGCTTGGTCTTTTGACAGTGCCTTGGAACTGTCATGGAGCCTCTGAGTGTGTCCTTTAGCTTGCTGATTGAGGATCAAGGTCTAGTTGAAGTCAATTTGTCTTCCGTCTTGGACCCATTTGATTCTAATAAGTTTATGTTGTATCTATGTCATGCTTTAAAAAGTTGTGTGCTGTCCATTTCCCTCCTGTTACAATTCTGGTGTGAAATTTAATGATTTCTTTTGATGATCATACTAAGTAATAAGGTTTTGCGTGCATGTATGCTAAATTGCTTCAGTCCTGTCCAAATTTTTGCAACTCTATGAACTGTAGCCCGGCAGGCTCCTCTGTCCATGGGATTTTTATATACACTTAATTATTTCCTTAAGATAAATTCCTAGAAGTGGTATTAGTGAGTCCAAAAGTTGGCACATTTATAAGCCTTTGATATCCATAGCCACTTTCCCTTCTTAAGGAGTTGTCGCAGTTTACATTTCTACCAGCAAGGCCTTTATATGTTGTTGACTGACCCTAGGTATCAGTCTCATAGAGTTTAGCTTCATTTACATAGCTGGCTGTTATATAAATACTGGAATTTGAGCTGAAATCTATCAAGTTAAGGCTGATTTAATGTTCAGAATTGAAGATCAGCTATGGTATTTGGCACCTGTTATTTAATGGAGATTTTCTTGATGAATCTTTATAATGTATAGCTTTTTATCTCAGCTCCTACCATATCTTAGACAATCTCAGAATGAGAATGAGGACACAGACATATTATTGATCTACTTGACTAGCGCCTCAGCCAACCTTAACGTTGGAGAGATATAACAGTTGCTTTCTTCAAGCAAGACATTCTGAGTTTGAGCTCTAGATTTAGGCCTAAATTCCTAACACCTTTCCTTCCATAATGTGCAATCAAAATTTTTCTCCTAGTTCTTTATGATGATGGGATAGTTCTGTACCTTGATAGAAGTGATGGTTATACAGATTGGTATGCGATAAAGTGGCTTAGAACCATACACACACACACACACATTTTATCAGTGTCAGTTTACTGGTTTTCATATGTTACCATAATTGTGTAAAACATAACCATTGGGAGAAATTGGTGAAGGGTGCAGGGGACCTCTACTATCTTTGCAGTTTCCCATGAGTCTATAAGAATTTCACAATAGAAACTTTAGGAAAAAAATCTTTCTCTAAGAGTTAGCAGAGGAGCATTTTTTAATTTATTTTGCATAGCTAATGCCTTTACATGGTTCCAAAAGTCTTGTTCTCTCCCTGCCACACCATTTCTATTGCTTCTATTATTTTCTTCTATACCTTTCTAGTATGTAATACTAGCAAATATGGATGTATAGTCTTACTTTTTCCAACTTCCCCGAACAAAGTGTATGTGTTAGTCTAGGTCCTCTGAAAAGCTGTTGCCAAGATGGAATTAAATGTAAGAATACTTCCCAGAGTTGTATTTGTTGGGTCAAAGGGGAAAGGTATTTGTAATTTATAATATTTCTAAAATTGTTCTCCATAGGTATTGTAGCATTTTACACTCCCATCAGTGAAGTAAAAAATTACTGATTTCTCTTCAACTTACCAAAAATTTGTGCTGTCAAACTTTTGGATTTTATGAATATGAATTTGTGATGTGATTTTAATTTGCATTTATGTTATTTTATTTTAAATAAGTTTGAACATTTTTTCATATTTTTAAGTCATTGATACTTCTTCTTCTATGGATTTTCTTTCCTTTGCTAATATTTCTACTCAATTGATAGGTACTCTTTATGTACAAAGGAGATTAGCCTTTGTAGGAAGAGTTGCAATTTTTTCAGGTTGTAGTTTGTCTTTTGGCTTTGTTTATGGTGTTAGGTCATTCAGAAGTTATTCTGTGTAGTAGAAGAAATTAATCCTTTATTTTATGATTTCATAGTCTTATTATTCTCTCTCTCTCCAATCCATGGCTGATTCATATCAATGTATGGCAA